ACTGGAAAGTTGGTGGAGGGGTGGGTTCGTTTGGGGGAGCAGAGGATGAAGACACAAGGGGAAGAGGAGTCGAGGGTCTGTTTGTCCCTATCTGCTGCCGATGGATCCCATGTACTTTATGGATTCTATTGTGAAGAATGGAGGAAGACACTATCTTACTTACTAAAAACCTAGTGCAGCATTTACTGGTGTACTTGAAAAGGTAACTACACTGTCAGAGAAGTTCTGTATTCTGAGTAACACTTGTTTGTGGTAAAATCATAGACTCTCAGATTGGTTTGTGTTGAAGGGACCTTAAAGCTCCTCCAGCTCCAACCCCTGCCCCGGGCCGGGACACCTTCCACTAGAGCAGGTTGCTCCAAGCCCCTGTGGCCCACCTGGCCTTGAACACTTTTATTTTTAAGATACTAAATAGTCTTTGTGCCAAGAATAGGCTGAGAACCAGTTTCTTGTGGATGTCTTGGAGCTTCTCTCTCCTGTAGGTACATTTGTCTGATTTGCTTAACTTGTGATGTGCAAATGGAGTGCTTTAACTGTGGGGAGTGAAAACCAGCAGCACCTGCCTCTGCTGGTGGGCTGTGATGTGGAAAACATGGTAGAGGGGGAAAAGGTCTTAGAATGAATCGTTGTATTTCATTACTTGCTTTAAGAAGCCTTTAAATCACAGAATCATTGAATCACAGAATCAACCAGGCTGGAAAAGCCCTTTGAGCTCATCCAGTCCAACCATTCCCAGCCCTGCCAAGGCCACCACTAACCCCTGGCACTGAGGCCTCGGCTCCACGGGCTGTGAACACTTGCAGGGACGGTGACTCCAGCCCTGCCCTGGGCAGCCTGTTCCAATGCCTGAGCACCCTCTGGGCAAGGAATTGTTCCTCAGCTCCAGCTAAACCTGCCCTGGGGCAGCTTGAGGCCGCTTCCTCTTGTGCCATCCCTTGTTCCTTGGGAGCAGAGACCAGCCCCCTCCTGGCTCCATCCTCCTGTCAGGCAGTTGCAGAGAGCGATCAGGTCCCCCCTGAGCCTTCTCTTCTCCACACTAAACCCCCAGGTCCCTCAGCCCTTCCCCATCACACTTGTGCTCCAGGCCCTGCTCCAGCTCCGGTGCCCTTCTCTGGCCCCACTCCAGCACCTCAAATACGTTGCCTAGAAAGGTTTTAGAGTCTCCTTCCCTGGAGTTATTTGGGAGCCCCATGGACACAGTCCTGAGTAATGTGCTCTAAGTGACCCTGATTGAGGTTGGACTAGGTAACGTTCAGTGGTCTCTTCCAATCTCAGCCATTCTGCAAGTCTATAAGAGGATGCAAATAGCAGCTCACGCTGTTGCAAAACCACGGAGCAGGAGAGCAAGAAGAACTGAAAAGGAATAGGCAAAAAATAAATGGAGAAAGGGGAAAAGGAGTGTGGAGAGATTTATGGAGACCAGGAGGTGATGGCCTCCACCTCTCACCGGTGGGCTTGTGGAACAGCCCCTTCTGCAGCTCAATGGGCTCATCCTGCATGTGGGATTCCATAGACTAAACACAGGCTTCCAGCTCTGTCTGAGATACCCCTGGGCTTTCATCACCCTGTTTTCCACTTAAACTCTGGCTCCTGCTGTTGGAACAATATTTACACGGAGAGCAAGGAATCATAACAGTGAGAGATGGGAGAGTCCTGGCCCAGCTGAGGGGAGGTTTAATCACTGTAATGTGGGAGCTGGGTGCAGAGCTCATTTTCTGGTCCATTGAATCCATTTGACAAAGAGGGTCTAATTTGCCCCTGAAACAAGGGCTTCAAACCACTGTTGCTTTGTCATTTCTGAGTTAAAGATTTGAGCTTTTGCAAGGAAATAACATCCAGGCACCAAATTCTGCATTAAATTCCACTTTAAATTCATAGGACCATAGAATGGTTTGGGTTGAAGGCACCTTAAAGCTCATCCCATTCCAACCCCTGCCACTGCAGGGACACCTTCCACTAGAGCAGGTTTCTCCAAGCCCCATCCAGCAGCATCTACCTACATTCATGTGTCTTTTGACCT